TCACATGATTTCACGAACATTCATGTTCGTGAAGTCGTGGAATATTGTTGAATAGCAGTTTGAATGGCATTCGAATCGTGCTATTCTACATGGTTAATTGTTAGCTCTTGGTTTTTACTATAGTACAGGACAGCTTAAGATATCAAATTTTTATTTTACTATTAAAAAGGTGCCAAATTTGAATAAAGGCACTATAAAACATCAACTTTTTACTAAGATACACCAAATTTAAATAATATAACACAAAAATAATGAATTTTTATTGGCTAATGCATGTAGATCAGCGCCAAATTTTAGATTTATATATAAAATATCAAAGTTTAACCTGTTATAACATTGTTAAAAATAAAAATAAAAAAAATACTCTTTCAGAAATGTAGTTTAGATTACAAACTATCAATTTGAAAGAGGTTTTTTGATTTAATAATTTTTTGTCAAATTATACCATTTTTAAAACAACTAATAAAATTGGATATCTTAAGCTGTTTCGCACTGTATTTTACAGAAACTTGAATATCTTAATACACAGTAACTATATAGTGACTATATAATTTAATAGTAACTATATAGTTACTACATCGTTATCATATCATTATCACATTGTTACCATATAGTTTACTGTGCATTAAATATTCAGGTTTCTGTATAGTAGTTTCTTTCTATTATTTTGTATAGCTAAAATATTCAACCGGGTAAAATTCATTACCCAAATTTTTTTCAGATTACGCATAATCTGAAACAAATTTGGGTGGTGAATTTTACCCAGTTACTAATAGTTGATTACAGCTGTTTTTATAATTCTTGAGACATCTATAAAAAATTAGCCAGGTGATTTTTCAGCCGATCCGGTTATTATTTCAGCATAATAGATTCAGTAAAAGTTGATACATACGTAAGTATGTATGTACGTACATATAACTATTATATACATATATTATGTATCTGTTATAATTATTGCACAGGTATTTAGTAAAGTAGTACTGTACGGCAGTCCAAATTTGGACGGACATACGAAAATTATACCAACTTTTGATCGTATGTACGGTTAATAAAGACTTGCAAGTTACACTTTTTATAAATCGCTTTTTAATAGTTAGGGTTAGGGTAAGCGCTAGTATTGTCCTTTTTTCATGTTAAGATTATAGAAAAAGTATTTTAGGTTTTACGACTTTTTTCTTTTATAACCGTACATACTATCATAATTTCTACACGTTTATCCTAATTTACGTTTCTGTACTGTACTACTTTACTATATACCCAATAAAAAATTGGACTGTACTTATATACGTATAACAGTTGTACGTACATACGTAACAATTTTTATTAAATCTCTTATGCCGAAATCATAACTTAATCAGATCGGCCGAAAAATCATTCAAAAACTTTTGCATGACAAATAATTTTTGCATGACAAATAATTTTGCATGACAAAATTTTTTGGTAATTTTTCATGATGAAACTTTTTGGAATTTATTTTTTAAAAGAAATTTTTTATAAATTATTTTTTTTCAAAATATTACTTTTTTAAAAAAAAAAAAATGAATCCTAAAAAATGAAGAACTCCTTCTCGAACCGAATCATTTTCCTCAACCCATCTTGTCCAACAACCTCAATCATCAACCTATCTGGTTCAACAATTCCAATCATCACCCCAGTCTGTTCAACAGCCTGTTCAACAGCCTATTCAGCAGCCTGTTCAACAGCCCGTTTAGCAGCCTGTTCAACAGCCTATTCAACAGCCCGTTCAACAATTTCAATCTTCATCCCAGCCTGTTCAACTGCCGCCCATTCAACAATTTCAATCTTTACCCCAGCCCATTCAACTGCCCGTTCAATAGCAATCCTACCCTGTCTAACCCATTCAATCAACTTCTCAACCTGTTCAACCATTCCAATCCTCTGTTCGACAACTCTGGTTCTGGTCCCAGTCTCAACCCATCCAACCTCAACCACAATCTCAACCACAACCTCAACCACAATCTCAACTACAATCTCAACCACAATCTCAACTACAATCTCAACCACAATCTCAACCAGTTTCGCAACCAGTATCATATGAAATTCAAAGTTCATCTGTCACTCCTGGTATTATTTTTAAAAAATATTAATATCTATAAAAGAATCAAGCTTTTAGTAACTACATAGCGATGATATCGTGACGATATTGTAACAATATCGTAATGATATTGTTGCTATGTAGTTACTAAAAGCTTGATCAGTTTTTTTTTTATTAATTACTAAAAAAAAAAACTGATCAAACTTTTAGTAACTACATAGCAACAATATCGTTACGATATCGTTACAATATCGTCACGATATCGTCGCTATGTAGTTACTAAAAGCTTGATCAGTTTTTTTTTTTTATTAATTAACTATACGGAAACCTGAATATCTTAATGTGCAGTAACTATATAGTAACTATGTAATAACTACATCATAACTATCTAGTAACTATATAGTCACTATGCAGTTACTGTGCATGAAGACATTCAAGTTTCTGTAA